GGGGGGGGGGGGTTGGCTCTCTCCAAAACGGCTTAAGAAATGTTTGGCAGACACCAGAGGACATTTTAACGCGTAGAAGCGGGTGGGGGGGGGTTAAACAAACACAATCATCACAGAGGTCTTCAGCTTGACGCATCATGCAAATAGAAGTGTTCAACAAAGAAAAGTGGAGAACCAAGAAGAGAAAATACGCAGTAGTTAGGAAGGTCAGCGTTTGGAGGGATTTCAAGGTGCAAAATTCATCACCGCGCCTTGACAGCACCAAATGTATTTGTTTTGGGGAGAAAATTAATTTTCTAATATTAAAAAGGTCAGCGCAACGACGACCTCTGTGTCATCTTTAACAAATTATCCAAAATGGCACTGTCAAATTGGTGGGGAAGCATCAGGCAGTGATGAATGCTTTTGGTAATCAGCCAATCAAACAGAATTCTTCTTCTGCATTTGATAAATGAGCTGGAAAAGCGATGCTTTACCAAAGAGATGGGTCCATTTGTTTCTCCGGACGTGTTTCTGTTTTTTTTTTTTCTCTCCCCCTTCTCCCTTTTATCCCTCTCCATTTCTCTCTTTCAAAACAAAACAACACGCAAGCTGGGGAACAGATTATGGCTCTTTGCATCACTGATTCGTTCAGCCACTTTTTGCCGCTGACCAACGCTCAGCCGCAGATGGTAAATGATGGAATTTCATCAAACAGCTTTGCCTTCAGATGGAAGCCGATGAGAGGTATGACTGGGATGTTTACAAGTATTCCAAATAAATACCGGTGCGTTTCACAGGCTTTGAACGAGATGATATCATTCAAAGTAGTTTCATTGTGATCATCATGCACAACGATGCCTTTGCACTGCAGGTATTAATGGCCAATTTCCATTTACTTTCCATGTCGGGGGTCCGAAGTTGTGTCCTGAAATATGTGGTTTCGAGGTTGTCAACAATCACACAATGAACTAGTTATGTTACATAATTCCCACCTTGACTCAGGCCCAAGTAACTGCCAGATGAAAACAGCCTCAAAGCGCGAGGCTGCCACAAACATGCTTTACACCAAGTGTCGTATTTCTTTAGTCAGGAGCATGATGGTGACGGTGATGTTGTTTTAGAGCCAAACATCCATCCATCCATTTTCCGATATGCTTTATCCTCACAAGGGTCGCGGGGGGTGCTGGAGCCTATCGCAGCTGCCTTCGGGCAGTAGGCAGGCGACACCCTGAACCAGTTGCCAGCCAATCGCAGAGCAGAGACCAACAAGCATCCACGCTCACACTCACACCTCGGGACAATTTAGAGTGTTCAAACAGCCTGCTATGCATGTTTTTGGAATGTGGGAGGAAACCGGAGTACCCGGAGAAAAGCCACATGGGCACTGGGAGGACATGCAAAGTCCACTGTCTCTGCACTGTGAGGTGGACGCGCTAACCACGCCCCCACCGGGCCACCCTAGAGCCAAATATAACTTTTATAACTAAGGTCAAAACGTTCAAGCTCGGTTTCATCAGACGTAACAAAATCTTACCAACACATTGGCGAATGTGTCATCGAAAAAGAAAAAAAAAAATCCCGGAACGCTACTTTCAGAGGATGTCACAGGAATTTTTTTCGTCTCCTGGCTGACTCAAGAATTCAGTTTGTCAAACACCACCTGTTGCCTTCTGGCAGGAATTGAAGGACCATCCGTTATTTTCTCGCAGTAAGTGCTTTATTTATTTATTTGGCTTGTCATTTGTGGACGCTTCCATGTGGAGAGTGCGGCGACATCCTGTTGAGCTGCGCTCTAAGATCTGAGTATAGGGACACATAACACTGCAGATCAATCCTCTGACTGTCTGCTGCTTTTTGTTTCGGCTGTCTTGTTTGTGTTGTAATTCTTGGTTATAGCGTGACAAATTACCTGGAAATTGGACCTTTTCTCCCCCATTCCGGCACCCTCCTATTCCCATAGTCTTCACTTGACAAATAATCAAACTGATTTAGCTGCCAGTGAGGGAGGGCCATTGTTATCTCGGGCCAACCGCGCTGCCATAACTGCTGCTGATCTCGTGTTAATGGAGCCCCCGGCCCTGGTGGACCCTTGTGCCTGCTGTGTGAGATGAGCATGAGTGGAGGGCAGCGGTACGGAGGCCTCCTGGCAGCGCAGCTGGCATTGACACTGGCGCGACGGCGCGCCACACGAGGAGTGGAACTAATGGGATTAACCGGCTGCGGCAAGACAGACAAACAGACAGACGTGAAGAGACTGCCTTAAACCGAATGTCCAAATTAACTCTGTAAGACTGAAGGCAATTATCAGGGGGGTCTTGGAGGAGGCTGTGGAGGTGATTAGCCACAGAAATGGAGAGAAGATGGCAGCGAGGTATCAAAAGTGTCAATTGGAGAGGGGTCAGTTTAAAAATGGTCGACTGACAATATACATGGTGATAAAAAAAATGGCAGAAAAAATTACAGTGACCCCACCTGGCAAATGTGGTCTTTGACCCGCCACATGAAGAACAATGCGGACGAAACCGACTCAAGTGGACCATCACAAAAAAAATATATGTATATATGTATATATTAGGGGCGGTCCAGTGGTCGAGTGGTTGGCGCGTCGACCTCACAACGCAGAGGTCGTGGGTTTGATCCCGGCTCCGGCCTTCCTGTGTGGAGTTTGCATGTTCTACCCGTGCCTGTGTGGGTTTTCTCCGGGTACTCCGGTTTCCTCCCACATTCCAAAAACATGCATGGCAGGCTGATTGAACACTCAAAATTGTCCCTGGGTGTGAGTGTGAGCACGGATGATTATTCGTCTGTGTGTGTCCTGCGATTGGCTGCCAACCGGTTCATTGTGTCCCTCGCCTATTGTCCGAAGATGGCTGGGATGGGCTCCAGCACCCCCCGTGATCCTTGTGAGGATAAAACAGATCTGAAAATGGATGGATGGATATATTATCAGGACATGGACAGCCACTGCCCAGTGCCAGCACCGAGAAGTACGTTTGTCAAACTTCAACTTCTGAGCCTTCCAAGTGGGCGCTGGCGAGACTTTGAAGGCCGAGGGGATGGGCTCAGCAGTCACTATCGTTACACTGATTCCAAACACACACGTCAAAATAACAAAATAAAAACTGTGGGGTTATATGGCACCATTGATGGTTTTTATATTATACTCCAAATCGTTTCAGAATAAACGCACAGTATTACAGATGCACAGGAAGGAAGTTTTCTTTTTTGAAAAAGCGGTTCAGGTTTTTTTTGTTTGTTTGTTTTGTTTTTTATATCATGATCGAAAATGTCTTTTCAATGTTAATTTTAGTGATCCCATCAGTTTTGTTCACCGTATCCCTATCAACCTTGGTGTGCGCACGCGGTTGGTTATGTTTCGCCAGCCATCTGTGAATGACAGCAGCGAGTGGATCCCGCTGTCATGACAGAGTTTATCGATCAGAGTGGCAGCGCTGGAGGGGAAAAAGGTTAATCTTCACGATGCCAACCCCGCACCTCACCACATCTCTGCCGTGCCCCTCGTCCCGCCCCTGACCGCTGCCTCTCTTATCTGGCTTAGGCGAGTGTACAAAAGGCTAGAGTATTCCCAGGACATTTACTGACCTTCAGTAATCCCACCAACCTGCTGCTCTGCTTATAATTACCATAAAAAACAAAGAGGTGAAAAAAAAAACTGGCCTGCGTCGTTTCCCTTTGACAGCCTCGCTATAATCGGAGAGGGGGGGGGAAAAAAAAAGTAGCAAGTGAAAGCAAAGAAACTTGCTTGAGTAAAACGTTCTGAATGGTCAGGAGAGCCACGCTGACATTCTGGAGGTGCTGACGAGCCTATCCTGCTCCCCACAGCACACAAGCACAAACAAGATTGGGGGAAACATGCTGAACCAAGCAGGGAGACGGCGCACAGTCCTTGGCTCATCAGGCTAAGCTACGACCACGATGGAATGTACGCGGGGACGGACCCACTCCAAGGTCAAATTCAAACACTTTTCAGCTCGAGCTGTAGCGGAAATTGCATATACTGTATTTACTTCTTCACGCTGGTGATTACAATTTGGCGCAGGAATAATATCAGTGATTCTCAAACAGTGAATCCCAAGAGTGGCAGTCGCAGGCATGTTCTGAGTGGATTTCTAGAAGAAAAAAATATTGACTGTGCAGATTCTCTCTCTCTCGTGTGTGTGTGTGTGTGTGTGTGTGTGTGTGTGTGTGTGTGTGTGTGTGTGTGTATGAGTATACTCACCGGGTCTTGGCTCATCTGCACAATGAGTTGCTTGACAGCATAAAGTGTGGGGTGTGCCCACGGAGAGGGGTCTTGCCAGTGGCGATTGAGATCAAAGCCCATCAGTGAAGACCTGGGGGGGAATAAAAGTAAATAAATCTTTCCTGTCAAAATGTGAACAGCGTGATGTAAAGGACTTTTGCCCACACCGATTCTAACTGAACCAGGAAATGTCCAGGGTTGGATCTAACACGTCTTGTGTTGTTCGAGAACAGCAAAACAAATAAATAAATAAATAAACAACAACTAGCAAAACACTGAACAGCTGGAAATGTGCTTTCAAAAAGATTTAAAGAAGGTCAAATGAAGTACATCTGTAAAGGCGACAGTGCATTTCGGTTCATGACTTATTTTCAAATTTCACCCAAAAGCTGAATGTCCGTTCCACTGGCCAACGGCAAATTTTAGTCAGAGATTGCCTTATGTGTCCCTCAATGTCTTTTTTGATACTGATTTCAAAAATGTCTTTTGTTTCCTTGCACATCAGTTGTTTTCCCAAATATTTTCATTTTTCGTTTTTAAGTTTGTTCACTCAAAGCTTACACAACACGGTTTGTGTTGTAATTTACAGCTACAACATTTCAGGAAAAAAAAAAAACACCTGTTGCTGAACTGAACCCTAATATTTGGCAATATTACATATTAACATTGATATTATTTTTATTATGGAAATCTGATGTGCTAGAGAAAAAAAACGGAGCATAAATCCGAAGTCACCGCAAAAAAAAAACAAAAGTTATGTCGAAAAGTTCACATTCATCTCTGGTTAAGATTTTTTTTTTTTTTTGGTGAGCCTTCTCTCAACTACAGTCTGAGAAACGCCGTCCTAAGCGTTAGCAACAGCTCGCAAATGATGAGGTATATTTATAGGTGTTCTCTGAGCTGCCCTTGTTTGTTGTCATCTTGTATCTCCTCTGTATCTCTGACATTTACGGAAGCTGTTAGCCACACGGGAGTTACTGATACTGCACAGCCAAATGAGTCGAGCAGCCGGCCGTGAACAAAATACTCATTCCAGGTTAACTGCCATTGATTCTTTTGCTCTGCATGCATCCATCGCCATCTACTCCGCGCTACGATCAGCCGGGGTGGCGTTGGGAGAGTCGACGGCGTGTTTGTGAGGGTCCGCGATGTGTGATTGGTGAGGTGCGGCCTATCATTCATCATCTTCTGTCAATATACTTATCACTGCTTTCTTTGAGAAGTGAGCTCACAAGACAGGAAAAAAAAAAAGAAGTACTCCGGCCCTCACCAATCACGGCAAATGACGGCGTGTCACTGCGGCCTGCAAATGTTTTTGGAAGCAGTTTGAGCGTCCGGCCACTAGATGTCGCTCACTCACGCACACGGGGAACATGTTGATGCCTATCTCGGCATGCATTAATATTCCTGCGGCTGAGCACATTAAGTAAAAGGCAATTATGAAGAAGGGAAAGAGGAGCGAATAGACGGCAGACGGATGCCTACAGAGCTGCAGCAATAGTGTTAAAAAGACAAAGGGGAGGAGACCGCGGATGGGCAAAGAGAATAGCCCCACGGCCACATACGATTTGAACAAATGCACTGCTGTGAGTTCTATGAATTCATTAGGCTCCCTGAAGGTGGAGTTAAGAGGATATTAGCTCAAGTCGTGGGAAATAAAACGGTGGAATATGTGAGCTGTATTTAATTTACCGTCGCATTGAAATTGGGGATTCATATGTTTGTGGTTTTTATTTTTATTTTTTGCTTTTGTGTAGTCACGACGCTGTGTTCGGGTGTGTGGGTACCTGTAGTTGCCCAGATACACTCCATCGGGATTCAGCATGGGGACGATTTTAAAGATCACATAATCTCTGAGGAGCTGAGCTACAGGGTGCTGGCTCACCAGGAAGTCAATCAAACCTATCACACACACACACACACACACACACACACACACACACACACACACACACACACACACACACACACACACACACACACACACACACACGCACATACAAAGTGAAATTGACTTCAATTGAAAGCTAAAGACAGGCCCAGTTAATTAAGTTTTTAAGAAACAAAAGAAGAGTGAAGGACATCGAGGGGGCACCGTCAGAATTCGGCAGCAATGGGAGTCTAAATCGATACAAATGGCACGGAGCAGATGGTGAAGAAAATACAACTGTATGGGAGGCTCACGAGTCAAGAGTGGAACCTGCCCCATCACCTGAGTTGGATCAGAGCAGCTGGGAGGAAAAGTCATAAAAAAAAAAAAAAAAAAAAAATCCAGCAGAAATTGTCTTTCAAGGAGAGAATTTCCCAAAGGTGCAAAATGTTTCCAGCTCTTTTATTAGTTGCGAGCACAGCAAGCTCAAGAGTCAAAACAACATCACTTGGCCATGAGGTGCTGACATTCTATGCACCACTAACGCATACAAACAAAGATACTTCGCGCTTTACTTTCTGAAAGCGTCACTTACAGTATGAAAGATCTATCTATCTAGCGATCAATCACCCCCCCCCCCCAAAAAAAGAAAAACTATTTCCAACAAATATTTAAAATGATTAGAATTACATAGCTGAATCCCTGGGGAGATAAACCTCTGTGGGGGCTGCTGTTTTCGTTAGCCGCCAGGTTTAAATGGGATCTTCAACATCCATTTGTGAGCCATAGCGTCTATGAACTTACATTCACGACCTTAATGATAAAATGAGGCATTTACTTAAGTGGACGACATCCAGAGTGACTGATTCAGACACACACAAGTAAGGGCCACAATGTTGATGTATTCGTATTTTCTTCCTCTTCAGTGCAGCCTTAATACTTCTTTGCGGTCATATCGTTACACTCCGATGCCAAAGAAACAATATTTACAATACAATTTACTGCCGTGCGTTTCTTACTTGCACATTTGGCTGATGAAATTCTTGGCTTTGTCAAACACCCGCGAGACCAATGCCACAGCATTTCAATCACTCCCCGAATGAGAGCAGGAGCTTACCTTGACAGACAAACGAGGCAGGAGACTCTCCAGGGTGAACGCGAGCTGTGAGGAACACCAGCTTCTTCTCTCTTCCTCCACTCAGCTGGTCTACGGCGCAGAAAGACAGAAAAGCACAGGCATGCGAGTCACCTACCATCTTGAAACCTTGGCGTCAACATTGCTATTATTATTCTATAATAGAATTCGACTCAGATAGACGTAGCATAGCAGTGTGCAAGACTCCGGGTCAAGCTAACCTGGCTCGTCTTTTCTGGGCCAGATACACTTGATTCAAACATCAATCTGGGCAGAGATAATTCAACAAAAGGATCGCGCGGCTTGATAATAAGAAGTGGTCAATAAATGATATCTCCAAGATAGAAATACCCCATTTAAATACTCATTCTTGACAGCAGCCATGGCACTCATTTTTTTTTTTTTTTAAAGATTTGTAAATGGTCTTGAAATTAATACAAACTCTAAAGCATGTAATATATTGAGAGAGAGTGAGAGAGAGAGAGAGAGAGAGAGAGAGAGCAAGAAGAGCAATGGATAACGCAAAATTGTTCTAGAAACAGTATCACAGCAGGCCGATCCCTGTATTTCCGGTCAACAAATCGCAATTTGCAAACTAACAAATGTATGACATCCCAATATACAGCATCAAATTCAGATTAAGTGGAATCGATTCGGCAGATGAAAACATCAACCAGCTGTCTTGATTCAAGAGCATCTTGACTTTTTCTAAACTATTGTGCAATCTGTGGTAGCCGAGTTACAGAAAATAATGAATTGCCGACTTCATCCATCGATTCATCCATTTTCTGATCCGCTTATCCTCACAAGGGGCGCGGGGCATGCTGGGGCATATGTATTCGGGGGACACCCTGAACCGGTTGCCAGCCAATCGCAGGGCACACATAGGCGAGCAACCATCACACTCGGGACCATTTAGAGTGTTTAATCAGCCTGCCGTGCATGTTTTTGGAATATGGGAGGAAACTGGAGTACCCGGAGAAAACCCACGCACGCAGGGGGAAAACATGAACCCCTGAAAGCAGCTGCCATCAAGCGCCTTCTAAAAGAAGTGAATGTCGGATGCCTTCTTCTTATCAAATTATAGACCCATCTCAGGATTGAGACATTCAAGAATCTCCTTCTAATCTCTTCAGGAGGATTGCAAAACGGAACTCGCGATGGAGGGGATTTACTGAATCAATTGTATGCATATAATGACTCAGGTAGAACAGAAAAGTGTAAAAATTCAATCGTGTTTGTGACCAAGTATTTAAAATGAGCTCCGGATACAGCACGGACAAATGACGTTCATGATTACTTGACGATAGTTGCAACTAGGTCATTGTTAAGGTTGGTTTCACAAGTTTGTTGGAATAATATTATAAAGTAGTTATTCGTAATATAACTTATTTGGAGCTTTTTTTTTTTTTTTTTTTAATCCATGCACCGTTGATTATTATCATAGGAATGATGAATGCGGAAAAAAATGTTGCTTAAATTTTGCAAGGGCTCCGATAACTGGAAGATGAAACATTTTGGCTGAAATGGGAATATATACATTTGCTTGAGTTAATGTAAATGTATTCATTCGCAATGTATATTCGTATCAAGGTGATGAGGAAAAAACATGCACATTTGGAACAGCAGGAATTATCATCTGACATTTTATTTTTTATTTTTTGGTAACTTGATAAACGACATAAATGACAACTTAATGGTAGTTGCAGAATAATTTCCGGTTGATTAATTGCCTGGTTAAATATAATTTTCAGTGTTTGAATAATAAGGCGGTGGAACAAGTGTGATTTCTCTCATGCAGCACATTAAAGAAATGTAAGGATGATCATGACAAAAAAAAGTTCTGATGAAATCAAGTAAAAGAAAAGCCATATGATGCAATAATTCGTGGGTTCGACCTTTGATTTTTTTTTTCCATGTGAATTTCTTTTAATTTTCCAAGTATTTCAGTGAGCGCCAGAGTGAGTATCTTTTTCTAAGAAAACAAAGCGCAAAAATAAATACAAGTCGAAAAGCACCGAGGTGTTGCTATTTTCTCACCGGTATTTCTCCTCTAATCTTTTGCTAATTGATGCCAGTGGATGTGGGCCTCATTGCTACACACAAACTTAATATCATATTGATTCTCCCACCTCTTTCTGCTGAGTGGAGAAAATGCTAATTAGCTAAAGGCTAAGCACTTGTCCTTCTTCTTAATTGCAATTTAACATCAGAGCAGTGAGTGTGTGTGTGTGTGTGTGTGTGTGTGCGTGTGTGTGTGTGTGTGTGTGTGTGTGTGTGTATGTCTGAGCGAGGTTGTAAACACCCCGCCCAGCGCCCCAAAAATGTTGCCCCATTTACTGTAAGTAGTTTCTTTCAGATTTTATTGGACTTTTTTTCCCCCCTCTTTGCCCTTCACAGAGACAAATGGCTTTGCCATTCAGGAGCCGCGATGGAGTGGGGCAGGCTCTTTTGCCGTAAATGTGAGCGCTCGCAGCTCCGAGCTGTGGTTGGGAACGCGGCATCTATGAAATTCCATCGCATCGAAATTTTATACGCGGGCCTCGACCTGAGCTTACCAAACAAGCCTCTGATGCAGGAACACCAGTGGGAATGTGTTGTTGTAAAAAACAGCTTTGTTACCCATCATAAAACGGAGAATACAGAAAGTTTAGTTACGTGGTGTTTGGGGGGGGGGGGGTTACCAGCCCCTAAGCAACCAGTATTTAGACATATCCAACGCTTTCACCGAACCCTTCATTCGGGAAAAATTAAAATATGATTCAAGAAGTGTTCCTTCATTTTTGAGTTGCTCAACTTGGCCTTACAAACACTGAGTCCCATCACGTTCCGTGATGCATGTGAATCCATGTTGTACATATTCGTCCGACCGCTTTCTTTTTTTGCTCGACAAAGTTAGCATGTATTCAAAAAAACACCCCAAAAAAATTCACACAACGTACTATCACAACAATCACACGTTGACGATTAAGCGAACTAAATTTATCATCGAACCCCTGAGACCGATTCACCATCTTCGGGCATTAGGTGGGGGACACCCTGAACCGGTTGCCAGCCAATCGCAGGGCACACGGAGACGAACAGCCATCTGCGCTCACACTCACACCCGGAGAAAACCCACACAGGCCCGGGGAGAGCATGCAAACTCCACACAGGGAGGCTGTAGCCGGAATCGAACCGTGCACCTATGTGCTGTGAGGTCGACGCTCTAACCACTGGACCTATATAGTTCCCTGCATGTCAATTTCTCGCAAGAAATACAGTAAACGAAAAAAAATGTACATGTTGTCCTCTCTTGAAATATTGTGCCCCCCACACAAAATTTTGGACCAGAGATAACCTCCCTCATCACGCTGGATAGTGTGCCCTTGCTATTGCATCAACACAATTTCTTGCAGCAAGCAAGTGGAACTTACAATAGATCCACTGCATGTGTGTGTGTGTGTGTGTGTGTGTGTGTGTGTGTGTGTGTGTGTGTGTGTGTGTGTGTGTGTGTGTGTGTGTGTGTGTGTGTGCATCACATGGTCTCCTCTGGGTTCTGGCTAATGCTCCCCATGTCGGTTTTTTGTGTTTATGTGCTCCTCTCTGTGCATTGTTCTGTCTCCAGCTCGGCACCAACCAAGCATTGCAGCACTAAAAGAAGTCACACTCATCCATAGGCAACTCAGCACACAGAGGTGACCGGCAAAAAGCAAGTAGCAGATGGAATAAAATGCATACATGTGATGTTTCAGGCTTGGGAACAAATAAAGTGAAGGTCAATTTTGACACTAGTATTGCAGAAGTATTGCTGGACCAGTAGGTGGCACTCAAGATCAGTCGACAGGGGTTCCCAGTATGGTTAATATTTTTATCAATATCCAGATAAGACCAAAATGAGTCATACCCAAGCCAAAGTTTTTTTTTTTAATTGTCTTTTCAATGAATATGATACAGACATTTTGTTTTCAATTGCAATTTTCATGTTTTGACACATTTTTATCCATATTAATTTCTCAATACACAGCAATCGAATGTATAGAATTAGAATTAGAATTAAAAATGTTGGGCAGCATATACATATAAAATCTATTTTTCATTATATCTCAATCACTAAATCACCAAAATCACTTTAGTCTAGCGTGTGAATAATTTCGTAAACGCTACGCTAATAAATGGAGCTTGTTGTCAATGAAACACTTTTCTTTTTTCTTTTTTTTTTAAAGTCTTTGTTTGATGATGACGTTTTAAAAAAGTTAACCGTGTTCATCCGCAGTACACACAAATTCTAATCCTGTTGAAGAAGAGGGAAATGTGCAAGTTTGAACCGTGAGAATTAGCATCTGACACACATTTTCCCTTGATAAACGACAGTAATGATAAGTTGATGGTAGTTGCGGAATAATTTCTAGTTGATTAATGGATTAGTTAAACAAGTTTGTCAGTGGTGGTGTAAATTAATTCCTTCCCCTGCTGTGCGCGCCGTGGAACTGATGAAATTGCGCAAGTGCTTTGTTATGATGAAAGGAGACCATTTGTTTGAGTCGACACAAGTCATGTTCAGATTTTAATTTACCAGCAAAACAACGGCAACAGTGCACATTGAGCTTGTTTTTGAACCATTTTTACTGTGTGCTGTGTGAATTGGGTGTGCATGACTGTCAAGGTGTATAAAAAAAAAAAGAACATGAAGAGTTAAAAATTGAGAAAGGGAAGTGAAGGTTTACGGAAGGGAGGGGAAGCTGTGACAATGACTGAGTGAGTGAAAGGAAAAGAAACCGAAATTATGCCCATTCAGCATCATTTTCACCCGCCATTGTCCCGTGCAGCACTCTACGGAACATTACTGCTCCATCTTGAGCGGCAAGAAAAAAAAAAAAAGAATATGAAAGCATGTCAAAGTACGATCAGCTCTGATAAATATGCAAATTGGCGCAGAGCAGCAAAGTGGCCGTGGAAGGAAGAGAAAAAAAAAAACGATATAACTGTAACAGATACTCAAGGTCACTTCTGAATATGCTGGTCAGCTCTTTGCGTGCAGCAGCAATGCATGCAACTTTCGGGTTCACATTCAGGAATTGGGTGTGACGTGA